ATACTTATATATATATAGTGTACTCTTGACTAAAAGTATGCAGAGGCTATACTTCCTTGTGGAACGCTGCTTTGATTTACGTGAGCCTGTACTGCTTGTTGGGGAAACAGGTGGAGGGAAGACTACTGTGTGTCAGTTATTAAGTGCTTGTTTGCAGTTAAAATTACACACATTGAATTGCCATCAGTATACAGAAACATCTGATTTTATCGGGGTTGGTTTTCCCATGCCTTTTCTTTTAATCAATCTTGTAACGACTTTAAAGAGAAATGTGTATACTACAATTTTAGCTGAAGGTTTAACTAGAAAATGTTTCCCAGGGATTCCGTCCAATTCGAGAGAGATCTACATTGATTTCTAATTACAAAGAGCTCATTGAGAGGTTGAAGAACCTGAAGGCTTATTATCCATACTTCCCTGAGGACTTTGTAAGTGTTCTTTGTTTCTTATCCACTTGGATCATACAAAGAATTTTAAGATCAGTTTTATGCATATATTCATAGCCTTATTTGTCAGTTTTATGCATATATTCCTAGCCTTATTTTTGCTGCATTTAGACAGTCTTTTTTTATTAACACTAGAGTTCTTCTCTTTGCTCTTTACCTTCTATCTGAATCAATGTTATTGAGATGAAGTGAATACTGATTTGTCATCTTCTTCTACAGATTGTTTCTTCTGACATAAATCATGCTTCTTCAACTCTTGATATGCTGAATGGTATGATAAGGAAATGTAAAGAAGGTCAAGTTTGTGGTTTGGATGCCAGTGGAGAAGATCTTAATGCTCTTGAGCAAATAAAGTTGGACCTCAGTGGCTTGCATCAAAAGTGGCAGAGCATATTTGTGTGGCAGGATGGTCCTCTTATACAAGCAATGAGAGATGGTGATCTCTTTCTTGTGGATGAAATATCCTTGGCTGATGATAGTGTACTTGAGAGATTGAATAGTGTGTTGGAGCCAGAGAGGATGCTAGTAAGTTTATTATCTGTATTGACACATTTAAGTTGCTGCTTTAGCCTGTTTTAGATCTTGCTGTATAACTATGGTTTATTAAATAGTGAACATATTAATTCTGCTCTCCCCAAAGAGTTATCTGTATTGACACATTTATCTGTGTTTTTCTAAATACCATGTGAACATATTACATAAAATACCCAAAATGAAAAATGTGTTTGTTTCTTAATTCTGTATGCCCCAAAGAGTTATTGGATGGATGTGAAGGTCATGCTTTTTTTCTTACTGGGACATATCTACTGAGAAGTTGGTGAGCTTTTTTAAACTGGATTGAGAGGAAATATTGCTAAGTAATATGAATGTTACAAAAGAATAGTAGGATATGATATGCTCTTGACTATGGCACAAATAAACACAATTAAGGTAGATGAAGGTGTTAATATTAGAGAGATCTAAATTATTTGTTTACCTGTTCTAAAGAACCTTGTTAAAGGACAAAAATATTGAGCACAAAGCAAGCTTTTTTTGTTGTGTTCTATAAACCCTAGTGATTTGCTCATATATATATTGTGCTTACTTATTGCTGGTGACTTTTCTCTGCATAATTGCTTGCCAGCTTTTCCTACCATTTTCTACAGTCACGAGTTTTTTTTCTTTTTTTTTTTTTCTGGTTGCAGTCTTTGGCTGAGAAAGGTGGGTCTGATCTTGAGAAGGTTACTGCACATCCAAATTTTTTCGTTCTTGCAACAATGAACCCTGGTGGTGATTATGGTAAGAAAGAGTTATCTCCAGCACTACGCAATCGCTTCACAGAGATATGGGTTCCCCCTGTTAATGATCTAGATGAGCTTCAAGGCATTGCTCTTAAAAGGTGCCCTCAATGAATTTCCCATGTTAGTGTTTCAGTGTTTAGATTTGATGGTGATCTTGAATTTTATTTTCTGTTTATTTGTGTTTTTTCTTTCAGAATTTCGAAGTTTAAAGTTGCAGGCAAATTATGCTCCATATATCAAGAAAGACTCTTGCTTATTGTTAATGCTATGATAAGTTTTTTCGAGGTATATTATACAGAAATCTTTTTTTGAAGTCATTAATTGTTCATTTTTTGCATGTAAATTATTCACTGCTGAGCTGATATGGGTGGTGTCTGATTCTCATTTACTTCAGTGTTGGCATTCTGTGTATTTGATTACTATTGTAACTTATAAGTGAGCCATTCTCATCATTGTTGCAATATGGGCATGTGGTTCATTAAGGTACTATTTGCCCTTTAAAGAAATGGCCTAGCAAAACCCAAGTTAGTAGAACAATGGAAGTTTAATAGTGAAGAAAAAGAAAAGGGAAAAATGGAGCTTGCCCAAAGAGCTGATGAGGAGGTTTTGCTTTTCTATTTTGAATACACACTTGCTTCTTCACCTCCATCTTGTATATCTTCCAGACACACTACCTTTGAATCCGGCAATTTTTGTTAATGAGTTTAGACAGGTACAACTTACCTGGACACAATTATAAACAAGTTAGCTGAAATACGGTGACACTGCAACTTGATCCAAGGTTCATCCTCAAGTTGGACAAGGATAATTAATGATTTCTATTGGGAAAAACCCAAGTCCCACATCGACTAGAGATTAGGCAATTGAATAGTATATAAGTGGAAAGCAACCCTTACAAGCCGGTTTTGTAGGGTTGAGTTAGGCTTAATCCACTATTCTAAGAATTTCCAACTTGCTGTTTGATCTTCAAACACTGATCTTGATCAAGTCTTTGCAAGAGAATCTGCACTTTGAGATTTGGCAGTGATGTAGGCTAAATCTAATTCGACTGTTTCCCATCTCTTGTTTAGTAAATTTCCTATTGATTCTCTTATTTTTCATTCCATCATGCTGTCGTGGTACTGATGGATGGTTTATTGTCAATATACAACCTTGTAGGCCCTTTTAAGTCCTCTAGTAACCTCTGTACTCCGTGGTCTGTATACAAATTCCTTGAATATTACTTGGGCCATGTTCCTGTATTCTATCACCGCAGTGCTCCTAGACACCACTGTATGCACTATTTGTTATATCTTTTTCCTGTATTTTGGAGTCTTCCAACTTGGTTGATACAAAAGGTTTGCCTCTTGCCACATTTGCATTGGGTTATTGAAATATCAATGACACTAATCGTCCTTAGTTGTTAAATAAAAGCATTAAGCAGAATTTTCAAGGTCCAAGTATGTTTCTTTGTCCATATTTCACACATCTTTTGCATTCTTATAAAAGTGTTATACGTGACTAATGTTGGTTTCCATGGAGAAAGTTAGGCATAATAATATTTTTTTCAGCTTCTTGCCTGTATGGTAGGTAAAAAGGATGGATAAGGTTTAGAGAGGAAATTAGGTTGGTATCATTTTGGATTTGATTATTGAGTTATTGTGTTCATTTTCTCTGGTTAGGATTTTGGTGTGGTTGGTGATTTTTGCCATTGATGTGGGGTAATTTCTTGGGTGGATCTGGGGTTATTCCTATTTGAGATCTAGAGGCTAAATCCTCATGGTATTGACATTCATTTAAAGGGCTAGCTGTTTGTAACAGTTGCACTTCCATATATGTGGATCTGGTGATTGAACCGCTAACTACATGTATAAGGGACATGGTGATTTTGGCCATAGATGGTGGGTTATGGTACCCAATATACTGCTCCGTTACCATGAAGAATTGTGAAAGGTTTCCTCAAGCATTTAAACCTTCTCATTAATCTGAATTCTCTATTATACATGAGATGCTTCCATGGAAGCAAGCAAATAAATGCCTAATAAAAAAGCAATAAATTATACACAATCTAGAAAACCATAACTAAGGGACATGATTATTTATCTATTGTACCACACCATGGTGATTTTGGCCATAGATGGTGGGGGGTATGATATGCCCAATACACTGCTACGAATTATCTATTATACAAGAGAGGCTTCCGTGAAAACTTGTAAGCGAATAAATGCAAATAAAATGTTCTAAATTAATGCCTACAGATTTACTTGTTTTCACTTTCATTTCTATCACAACTTGCATTTTTTCATTTTGTGTTGCACTTTATTTTGGTTTTCCATATAGTTTATTCTAGCTTATTTATTTTTATATTGTTTCACAATGCTTTTGGCTTGTTTGTGAGTATCTTGCTTTTTTTATTTTTTTGGGATTGTTGATCTTATAGATATGAAAAAGGTTTGATGAATTTGCAATTGTGGTGTTATGATGTTTTCTGTGCTTCTTCCATGTAGTTCTCTTCTTTATAAAAAATACTTTTGTGTATATAGGTTCTTGCTTTGTATTATTTTAGCATGTAATTATACCAGCAATGTCTGCTCTTAGAACATTTGGAATGAAATTTGGAACAACATCAAAAAGGATGTAATGTATTTGAATACTACTATTCCACTGTTAAGTGCAATTCGCTGCTGTAATGATTAATTCTTTGATCAATTATATATTATTATTCATTTGCTATTTATTACTCCTATGCTTTCCAGTGGTTCAATAAATTGCATCCAGGGAGAATGCTTACAGTGAGAGATCTTATTTCTTGGGTGGACTTTTTTATTGCAATGGAAGAAAGCTTAGGGGCTGAATATGCACTTCTTCATGGAGTATTTCTTGTTTTGCTTGATGGGTTAACTCTAGGTAGGATCTGTTAATGATTTTTCGTTTATTCAACTTCTCTGATTTCTTTTATGACATCTGAAATTCTTAGATGAAATTTGCAACTTGAGAAGGATTGGCACCTTGATGTTGGCTCTGTCACACTTGGGGGCTTTAGTATGTTCTGAGGGTTGGACATGTGTTAAAAATGTTGTATTTCTGCCCAAGCTAGAAACATTTCAGAATGTTGTGTTTGGGTTGCACAAGGAATTAAATTTTATTTTTGGGCTTTATTCTCTTGTTATTATTATGTTTCTAAATCTATATTTTTAAATGAAAAATATTGTGAGTGGAAATTTTAAAATTGATCATATAAATTTAATATTTGTTATAATTGGGTTGTAGTATTGATGATGATATTAGTGGTAATAGCTATGTTGGTTATGTTGGCAATGGAGATGATCTATATTATTTTATTTTAGAATGAGCCAATTATTCTTAAAGGTTAAAGTTGTAAGTTGAATACACATGAATGGTCTTATATAGTTAAATTACTGTATTACATTACTATCAAACAAATCTTCATATATGAGCTCCCAAAATGTCTGAAGCAGAAACACGGTTTAAATATAGATATCCCTGAAGTTGTGTAGACATGAGTTAAATATTACTGTATGTTTTATTGACAGCTTCTTAACTTTTATCAGGGACAGGACTTTCAAAAAGGGATGCTGCCGTGTTAAGGGAGAGATGTTTATCCTTTCTTCTGCAAAAGCTAAGGGTATGTTTCTCCCTTCATTATTTGTTATTTATGCACTATTTATTGTCTTTAACCAAGTTCAATGTATCTTATGAAGTAGTGACATTTTAATTGTTATCTGAAAATAATAGTTGTTATTTCTTATCCTTGTAATCATCATCATTATTATTATAAACAAATCCCCTATGCAAGCCTACGAGAGCAGTGATTTCTTGGGTTCTGTTTTCAGCTGTTTACAGTTTTTTATTATTATCACAATTCCTCTTGAAATTTAATAAGACAACATTGTACAGCACCAGTCTTATGTTAATAATTTTGATTGAAATACATCAAGATAAAGAAAGACATAGCTGAGAAAGAGAGATCAGAAAGTCACTATAATCCCTTAGAATTCAATTATGATCAAGATACATGACTGTTAGTATTTATATGATCAGTCTACATAACTAACTGCTGACTTAGCAGTTAGTTATACCAGTCAAGACAGATGGCTAATCTTTTACAACAGCAGGAAATACAGAATTTGTGTAAATTCCTTTTGAGATAAGGGTCAGTTATGTCCTTATTGGTGGGAATTCTTATGAATGTTCCTGTATTTATAGTTTTATGGTGCAATCTTTTGGAGTGGAATTCTCATATTTGTATTTTTATTGATATCTCTTTGGGTACTCTCTATAGCTGTATCTTAAAAAAGTTGTATTTGTTGAATGAATTATTCTTACAGGTTGATGAAAGTGATTTACTACATTCAAAACTTTCAAGAATGAGTAACTACAGTTGGGGTGAATTTGGCGCTATTATGGATGTGTCAGATATTGATAATAAGCAATATGATGATTTATTTGGCATTGATCCATTCTATATCAGTAAAGGTAATAATGTGATGCTGCATTCTTTTTTATGATTTTGTTTCCTGATTGTTTTGTCACGGTAAATTCCTTTCCAGGTTTGGTTTTGTATAAATATTATTTACTATGTTTGATACTCCATCATCTTTTTCCTAAAATAATTGTAAAGGTCGGAGAGATGTTATAGCTAATGAGTAATTGTCTTGTTTATTTATTTTCATTTAAGATTTTTAAGAGTCTTCACTTTCTTCCTTCTTTGTAGTCTTTGTCTCCTTTATAGTAATTTTTACACTGAAATACTGCCATGTCTACTGTCTCGTGTTAATTTTTGACTACTTTTCTTTATGGCTATAGGTATTGGCATTTGTGAGGATAGTGGGTTTGAATTCAAGGCACCTACTACTCGCAGGAACAGGAATGCTTTGAGAGTTTTACGGGCTATGCAGCTTCCAAAGCCTGGTATTTTCTTTATTTACCTTTATGAATATCCTTTATTTATGTCAGAAATTATTTGATTTATTAGTTCTAAATATTTGTCCTTTTGCAGTTTTACTTGAAGGTAGCCCAGGTGTAGGGAAAACTAGTTTAATCATTGCCTTGGGAAAATGGTCTGGGCATAGAGTGGTACGGATAAACTTTTCTGAGCAGGTCAGAAAATACTCTTACTTGTACTTTATCTTGTAGCATTTGGTTTTTTCTGTAATAATTTGATCAATTCTGGTGATGTTTTTCTGGTGCAGACTGATATGATGGATCTGTTAGGGTCTGATTTACCTGTTGAAAGTGAAGAGGGAATGAAGTTTTGTTGGTCTGATGGGATACTATTGCAGGTTGATTTGTCTTCTGAGTTAACGTATCATGTTCTTCTCTGCTTTTGATTTGTATTTAATTTTCAACTTATTTCCGCAGGCCCTCAAGGAAGGCTGTTGGGTTTTGTTGGACGAGCTTAATCTTGCTCCCCAATCTGTTTTAGAAGTATTTTACTCATCAATCTTAATATCCATTTCCCCCTCCTTTATTTTCCTTTTTAAACCTTAATTATCATTTCTTTTCTGTTTCATCTTCTGTGATGCTTTGTCGTAACTCTGATCTTCGTATCAGGGCTTGAATGCAATTCTTGACCACAGAGCTGAGGTGTTTATACCAGAGTTGGGTAGTACTTACAAATGTCCACCATCATTTAGAGTTTTTGCTTGTCAGAATCCATCACATCAAGGTGGTGGCCGAAAAGGCCTTCCAAAGTCATTCCTTAATCGATTTACCAAGGTATGCTGGTTGTGTGATATTGTATTTATATTTTATTTGGAATCTCTCAAAGTTGAAATATGGGCGTTCAACAAGCAAATCTGAGGAGTCCAAAAGTTAGAATCATGTATAGCCTATAGGGACTCTAATTATCTTTCTATTTTGCACTGTTTAATAATGTTCCTGTTTCAGAGTAATTTTTGCCTATTTTCTATGATAATTTTTCAGTCAGATATTTTTCTTTAGTACTCAGTATGCAAGATTTGTCAAATCTCTGTTTTTTGGTTGTTGACTACAGGTGTATGTTGATGAGTTAGTTGAGGAAGACTATCTATCCATTTGTGAATCAAAATTTTCAACTATACCTAGACCTTTACTATCAAAGTTAATCTCCTTCAATAAAAGGATGCATGAAGACACCACAGTAAATCAAAAGTTTGCCAAGGATGGCTTTCCATGGGAGTTCAATCTTCGTGATGTATTTCGGTCTTGTGAGATAATTGAAGGTTCTATCATCTCTAACTCTCACTTGTAATTTGTCTGTTATTTTTACCGGTTTCCTTTTTTCATTTTTCTTTCTAATGTCCAATTGAGACTCATTCTCTTTTTCATCCTGATATTTCCTTATATTCAAATTAGGTGCACCGAAGCGCTCTGGAGTATATTCCTTCTTGAACATTGTTTACATTCAGAGAATGCGTACGGAAGCTGATCGTAAGGAAGTCTTACGAGTCTTCAAGGAGGTATTTGAGGTGACACCATTTATAAATCCATATCCTCGCGTTCTACTCAATTCACATCATTTAATTGTTGGGAATGTGACTGTTAAGAGGAATCATGCTCAATTAAGTATGCCCTCAAGCAAACAGATCCTGATGCTGCCTGGAATTCGTCAAAGTTTGGAAGCTGCTGCTCAATGTGTTGAACATCAATGGTTATGTATCTTGACTGGGCCATCGTGCTCTGGAAAAACATCATTGATAAGATTACTGGCTAACCTAACAGGCAATGTGCTAAATGAAGTAAATCTTTCCTCTGCAACTGATATATCTGAATTATTAGGATCATTTGAGCAGTATGATGCCTTACGTAATTTTTCCAATGTCATTTCTCAAATTGAGCGGTATGTTAATGAGTACGTAAGTTTGCAACTGGAGACTTCAAATGAAGCAATTTTCAGGGAAACAGATTTATATATCAGATGGACTGCTTTTCTTTCTGGCTTGAAATTTGATAGCTTGTCATCTTCTGCTTCAAATTATTTTGAGAACCAGAAGAGGATAGTATGTTCTGTTAGTTTGTTAGTTGAGATCATTGGACAACTAAAGTTGCAGATAGAAAATAGTTCTCTTCCTGTATCTTACTCATTCGATGAACTTGATTTGGCCATGAAGAAAGTTTTGAAGATGAAAGCGGATGATCAGAAAAGGGTTGTTTCAACCAAATTTGAATGGGTTACAGGAATATTGATCAGGGCTATTGAGCAAGGGGAATGGATTGTCTTGGAGAATGCAAATCTCTGTAACCCCACGGTATAGGGTGCCTCTACTACATATTATTGTACAAGTTCATGCATTTAAAAGCTTATTTTGCCCGAGGAAAATTGTATTTATGCTCCGTAGTTTTCCTCACTAATTATGAATTGTTTTAACAGACTAATCTCTTCAGTTTTCAAATTTTATTAATAAATTTCAAACCAGACCAACATCCTCTGTTCTGCATTTGGGGAATAAAAGTTTTTGTCAAGCACATCTGGCTCATTAACTTCACATTTATCCAACTTTTATTCCTAATCCATCTAAGCCTCCTGAAATTAATTTGAAAATTTTCCCCAAATAAACTATAATATAACTTATATAAGTCATTGGTTGGTTTGTTTGTTTGTTTTTTTTTTCCTCTCTAAAATTTGGCATGCAAGATCTGCATAAGATTCGTTGTAATTTAGCATTTTGGATCAATCTAATGCTTTTGTTGATACTATTAAGTTATTTTTTTTATTTGTTTTTGTTGCTAGGTTCTTGATAGGATTAACTCATTGGTGGAACCTAGTGGATCAATCACAGTAAATGAGCGTGGAATTGTTGATGGGAATCCATTGGTTATTCATCCTCACCCTAATTTCCGCATGTTCCTCACAGTTAATCCCCACTATGGTGAAGTTTCTCGAGCAATGCGTAATAGGGGAGTTGAAGTATTTATGCTGCAGCCATATTGGGCATTAGACGATACAAGTGGATACAATTACGAGGATATTGAATTCAAAGATGTCAGGAGGTTTCTTGTTTTATTGGGTGTACCAGTTCCTCATTTGGTTGATGCAATGGCTAGAGCTCACATTTATGCTAAAATTGAAGGTTCAGAGCTTAATTGTCACATTACGTATCTTGAACTTTCACATTGGGTTCATCTGTTTCTGCAGCTTCTCAAAAATGGTTGTTGTGCTTTTTGGAGTCTACAGTTAAGTTGGGAGCATATATATCTGTCCTCGTTGGGTGTCGAAGGAGAGAGAATAATCAATTTTGCCAAAACTGAATATTTATCGATTACTAATTTGGCTGTGTATGATGATGTTTTGATGGCCTGTCCTTTGGGTTTGCCTGGAGGATGGCCATTGCCACTCAGTTTAAGGGATTATGTATACTACTCAAAAGAAGCTTCTATTAAGCAGAACTGCATGTATCTGGAATTTCTGGGAACTCAGTTTGCATCTCATCAATATCGAACTGCTCGTAAGAGGCACTCAACAGCTTGTTTACAAACTTCCAGTGATCATGTGAGGATGTATTTGATGGATTTCTGGACTTTACGTGAACTAATGTTTCCTAAGGCCTCAAATGTGATGATTTCAGACTACAAAAATGAGTGCAAATTTGACTCAGAATTGACAAATAAGATGCTATTGTTTGCAGCCAATTGGACGATTGAACAAGCTACTAAAAGTGATTTTAAGTTCTATCTTCTCAGGTTTAAGTGGTTTATTTCTCAGTTGCAGCCCTTCTGCCAGTTCTTTAATAACTTCGTCATACTGATAGAGAAGATGATCAAGCATCCTATTTGGGAGTATATTTCAAGCCATGATAAACTGGATGTTGATTTGCAGTTAATGCCATTGTTGTCACTTGATCTAGTCGATTTGGCTCCATCAAATAGCAAAATTAAATCTCACTTGAATGCTATTAGTTGCTTTGATCTACTAAGATTAACTTACCAACAACGGAATATTGAGAGCCAGTATAGTTTTGATGATGAAGCCAGTTGCTTTCTTCCACTTTTGAAGTCTCTTCATGTTTTGCAAGATGAAATAATTAACAAATTTGTTGTTTCATCTCCTAGGCTAATTGAGGACCAATCATTTGATTATAAAGTACAGTTATACTCTAACCTTATCGAGGACCATGTTTTATTTTGGCAGTACCTAGTTTCTTCGAAGTTTGATCAGATGATAATTTCTTGGCATTCTTTGGTGAAAGATGCTGGAAAGTTTAATGATATATGTGGAGAAGCTGTAGATGATTTTTTGGTAAGCTATGCATGTTGTTTTATGTATTCAGTAAGGAAGTTTATAAAGTGAGAAAATTAAGGGTGTTTTCATCCTAGATTTTAACAGAAGTACCTTGTAAGCTTAATTAGCTTTAAATTAGGATGGATGCACCCTTATTTACTACACACATTCTTTCTCTGCTGTTGCAAAAATATCCATGATTTATATGTTAAATTATTTTTAGTCAGTTAATTATTGTTTTTCCTTGAACAGATGGAGGGCAAAAAACTGGAGAAGTTTTCTCTTTCAGAAAAATCCTTACTATGGATTCATGGTGGTCACCCATTTTTACCTTCTTCATCTGATTTACATAATCAACAGCATCAACTTTTAAAATTTGTTGAAACAATTTGGCCAAGAAAGACAGGATCAAACTATCAAGGTTCTCTACTCTGAATTCCTTTTTATTGTTTACTTCAGAGGAAATTTTGAACAAAGAATTCTTGGTAAAGATATTCCCAGTTTTGGTACTTATCCACTTAAGTAGTTAATCAACTCAGTAATTGGGTGCAAGTAACCAATTATTGAGCATTGTTAACCAGTTAAGTGGTCAATTATTTTTAAGATTAAAATATTATTGCCAAGATTTTAAAATTTAAATTTCCTCAGTAATTTTGTACTTCTTATTTTGTCAAATTTTATTTAATTTTTAATTTTTTATTGAGATATTTAGGAAGTTTGAGCTGCAATCTTATTGATGTTGTTGCATCATTTGATAATGGTCTTCGCTTCCTCGTGATGCAAGGTATATACAGACATCTTTCTTTCCCTTGTAATATAATTATTAGGACACCATTCTCACATTGAGAGTCTGGTGAATTATCTGGATATACAATGATCATTAAGTGTTATCCTTTGGCCTATTCCCCACTAGTTTCAGGATGATTTAGTCAAATAAGTTGTATTTATCTTGTCAAATAAATTTATTTGGGCACGAGAGATTTTCACAAATTTCTTCAAGCATCAGAAGTTTTTTGGCAGTGTATAAATATGTCTATATCATCAATTTTTAGTGACTGTTTAATGGTGTGTGCATTACTGTGGAGTGATGTGGTTCACACATCACTACACATCTGAAAGTTAACATCAAACAAATTTGTTTATTTTTAGCATGTTATTGTCTTCTAGAATTTACTGTATGAATCATGATACTGATCTTGGAAAGTCTCAGCAAAGTGACTTTTTGTCTTCGATTTACTTTCAATCTGACTCAATTTGGACAATATTTATTTTCCATTGTTTCAAATATGACTCAGAATATGGTATTGAATCAATTCTTGGTTTTGGTTGATTTGTTCCTGTAGATATTTTGGCTTCTTATAGTAAACTGATTCACCTCATAGCCCTAAACTGATGTAGTTTTAAAACATTGGTTTACAAAATTAAGATTTTTGTTTTTTTGCTTCATACTTCCCATCTACTTTCTGGCACTTCCTTCTAGGTTAATGTTTATTCCTGGCTAATGGTGATGAATATCATCATATTTACTTTTGCATTATTGTTTATGCTACTTATCTGTAGATACATAATTCTTTATTCTATAATTGTGTAGATGTCTCAAACTTATCTTTTCTAATGGCGAAATGGAGTCATGAGGATGGTATTCATACTGTTAAGAAGTTGGAGGAGATGCGTCAGGTTTGCGCTTTCATGATTGTACTTAAATCTATAAGAATGCAAATTCCTTATTTGGTTGTTATTAAATTTGTTCTGCAGATGCTGTTAAGAAGGTTTGAACATGAAAAACACAAGTTGATATTGAATACAGGATCCAAAGGCCTTTCCTATTTTGCTGAAAATTCAGATGCCTGTTGTTCATTTACACCTGAAATGTTGTGTCAAAAATCTGTATTTGAGGCATGGCAGGACACGTTTGTTCCAGTTGATTATACCAGTTTATTCTGGGATATGGATTTACTGCAGAAACTCACATCAATTCATTTGGACGATCTCGAAGGATTACATCAAGTAATATTGAACACAATTACCTCGTGTATTTATTGTAAAAAAATATTTTCTAATTGATATTATAAAAAATATTCCTTTATAGTAGGGTTACTAGGGTAGAGAAGCAAAAATTTGTATATTATGCGGCAAATAGTCTATATGCATACCGGATTGTTTAAACTTAATTTTCCATGCTTCTCTGATTCTTATGATAGGCCATGGGACGACTATCCAACCTTTTGGATTTTTCTTTGAAATTTTCATTGAGTTTCTCATCAAGGCCTCCCCAAATGTTTTCGCCACACCAAAAGATGTTGTGGACCCTGAATGCATGGGCATCAATGGATGCAGGTTGGTGTTAAAGCTTGAATGTGTCCAATTATCCTTTTTCTTTGTGAATAGGTTCACAGAGATTTTAACTTCTTTTTTTTTTTTTTTTGTACTTTTGTGATGGTTGCAGTAAATTTCAAAATTGCAAGCTTCATTGTGGAGATGTGGTTTAAGTGGCATGAATCTATTTGGGTATGTTTCCCTAAATTAGTTAAGGTATGTGGAGTGCACATTTATTTTCATATTTAGTTCTTGTGTATATTTTTTGGCCTATTTAAAACTTTTTGTGTGTTGGAACTTTGGACAGATTGATGATTTTGATACCATTGCTCAACCCCACATGCTCACTGAGCCTTTTGGTGCATCAACTGTGTTACAGATCATGTGAGTTACTTTTTTTTTCCTTTTCTGTATAGATGTTTTTGTTATTTGTTTCCTACTTTCTATAAGATTTTTACTATATTAAAATTAGAGTTCTTAAAACGGTGAAAAGTTAAATAAGATGGTGGAGGAATTGGTTTTTTAAGTAACTAGAGCTTCTAATAAACTAAGGTCATTAGTCATACTTCATTCCTTCTTTAAGTTGTAAAATTGGGTTTTTAATGAGGTCAGATAAATAAAATTAATTTTACCCCCCCCCTCCCAAAAGTGTACACTGTTAAATTTATATTGTTTTGTATTGGGAAAAACCCTTGTACCACATTGTCTAGATAAGTATATAAGTGAAGAGCAACCCTCACCATATAAACTGATTTTGTAAAGTTGAGTTTGGTCCAAATTCACATTTTAAGATGATATCAAAGTCTGTCCTAGATCCATTAAAAGAAAGGGTTATCCATCATATATCCACCTACTAGGTAAAATAGTGTTAGGTTTGAGAGAGTGTATTGAAAATTACTTTATTATAAAGAATTTTTTGGAAACATTTTTAATTTTAAACAAATTGGCCCATTAGTATTTGTTAATTGTTACACCAACATTAGTTGACATAATTGGTAATGACTTGTATTACTTAACCTGGTTGTTTAGGATTCAAATCCTGACTTTGATTATGAAATAAACTATGTTGGGAAGGGAATATTCACTTTGATTGTGTTCCAATCTCTGATGGAGATTAGTCACTACTTTTGGCAGTGGTTACTTCGTATCTATGGTTACAAAATAAATTCTTAACTGCTACTTGTACATATTGAGCATCTTTCCAGGTGCAACAGAAAGTATCATTCTTCTTTGGATAATATTTTCAGGAAAAGAACACATGCTATCAATGAGTTTTGGGTGCAATCTCTCAAGTGTAGGGTTACCTTGCTTAATTTGTGGCATTGCTCTCATCATGGAATACATATGCCTAATTTTCTTTTAGGTGCTTCTCGATCTCTTTTCCAGCAGGTAAAACTATCGCTCTCCTTCTATTCCTTAGTCATCTGTGTCATAATTGTATCATTAATTGTTAAACTGATTCATGCATATGGCATGCTTAAATGCAGATTATTTATGCACACAGGAAATCTTTTGATGGGGAACAATTTGCTAGAATCAAATCTATTTTTTCTTCTCTTGAGAAGAATATACATACGGTATGTCCTTTGTCATGTGCTTATTATGGTATTCTACTGTTTTATTTGTTTCAGAATAGCAAACACAGTTAAGCCACTGTAATCCAAGATGTTTTCCTTGAAGCATTTTAGAATACATTTTTTTAGTCTTTATTTTGAAATGTTCACAATTGTCATGCAATTGGGAATATTTATGAACATGTATTATAGTTGAAAAAGAAATACATATTAAATTTTTGATAAAATTTTCCCTATCTGCATCTATTTATAAATTAATTTTTTTTTCAACAATTAAACAATGGCTACACTTTGTGCTGTGTACTTATATTTTTTTTTTCATTTTCCAATCAAACAATTCAGGCAAACATTATGCTTCACTATGTCACCCTGAAGTGCTGCTTTGCTTATTTTAGCACCGTATGCACTGTACACTAATTATGTACAGGGCAACCTAGATTAGTATTCTGGTAAAGCTCATTGGGACAATATCCTACACCTTATAAAACTATACATCGATGTAGAATATAGTGAACGAATTTAAGCATTGTTTTGCATGTTTTTCTCATTGTTGGAAGACATTATTAAAAGGAAGTTGATTTGGATTATCGAATCTGTTGTTTGTTCTTGCTTCTTAGTTCTTTTGTTCACAGTTTCTTTTTCCATTTAGTTCACACCTTTTCATTTAGAATAAAAAAAATTATGCAAAATTACCTTTGATTATTTATATGGAAAATCATGATAATTTAACAATAAATTGATGACAAACTTGAGAAAAATAATTAGTTAGTGTTATTCAGGTGCTTATGGTGTGTTTATCCTATATTATTTTATTGTCACATCATCCTTTTTTCCCCCATGATTTGATAGATGTGGTGCGTCAAATAATTCTCATGTATTGTTTTCATTTGAGAACAACACTATAAGCACCTCAGTAATTTTATGCAAATTTTGTCCTAGACTGAATGTTGTCACTATTTGAGTTAATATCTGTTAATTCTGAATGTTTTATGGTCACATGTCTATTAAGTTGAACCAATTCATATAAATGGAACATTGGGACCTGAGATCATTGGATTTATTTTCTCAAATATATAGTGTGTCATTTGGCACTCTCATCTTGTTTTACGTTGAACTTAATTTATTTATTGCTGTATTACTGGTTCTGCATTCTATTTGAATGGTTGTGATGCTCAAACTTTGGCTTATTCTCATTCCATTGTTAACGGAATCTAGGAAGAAAGCATCTATTTGCTCAGCTCTCTTGTAGCTTCATCAAGACACTACAGGTTGAAAAACTCAGTGCAGAAGTTCATAGTTCCACTGCTTAGAGAGCTGTATCTTCAATCTGATAAGACTGGTAATTATTTGCTCCTTTCACCCCCTCAATCCCACCCACCCACCCACACAATAGACATGTGTAATGACTGATTGACTGTTTATGATTTCATATACACAAACCCACTAGATATTATATACTGACAAGCTGTTACACTGACTAACTACTAGCTGATAGGGGAATTTGTACTGTGAAACAATACATTCTCACTTTTATTCTCCTGCTTCTGAATGTTCTCTTATATTTTAACCTTCTCATTTTGCCTATCTTAGATTTCAATTATACAATTGGTTGTGCATGGACACACATTGGAGCATTACGCATTCATCTCTTGCTTAGCTGCTATGACATTGATCCTGCCATGAAGTACTATTGCAAGTACTCTCAGCTTGTAGAAACAATATCATCACTTGAACTTGAAATTCAGGTATTCTTCAAAGAGTCTTAATTCAATTGATACTCTTCTCTTTGTTTCTTGTATACTGAACTCTTATTTTTTATTACTACAACTACTAGTACAATTATAGTTCCTAAATTGAATGAATCTGTGTATCAACGGTGAGACATTTTATATTTACTAAATTCTTCCAGGTACGAAAGGAGTGTGGTTATTTTGCTGGACAGTTTCTGACACAAGAGGCTGACAAAAGAAAAGAACTAAGAAAGGAAAAGCTTCAGGCAGAGTGTCAAAAGCGGCAAAAAAAGGTTTCTAGATTCTTATGTTCCTATTTTGTTTCTAGTTTTTTTATTCTTTTTCATGTTCTGCATGTAGTCACTGGCTTTCTTGATTGTAATTTCTGAGCTGTGGGTGTGAAAATTGTTTTAGAATGATACAATGCCAATATTTTTCATAAACTTCCACAATCATCATTATTAGTTTTTGGTCTGTAGTTCAATAATTTTTGTATTCAATTCTGCTAAAAAAGTGGGTGTAGGGGCGGGTGATGCAATAGCAAAAAAAGCAGCACGCCTCTTTAAAATGCCTTTTTTCCTTATCATATTTCTTCTGTCAAAAAACATAAGGTAGTCTATTTTGAATAAGCTATTTGTTTTGCCATTGGTTGTGGTACTACTTAATTTGATCATTCATTGATATATTTTACACCTAAAATAATTTCAGTGGCGGATTTGGTTAATTTGACATTAAAAATAGTTCGTTGACACCTAAAATAATTAATATATTTTCTTGGGCATTTGTCTGATTACTTCAGCTGTTATTTTACCTCTCTTTTTCTGTCTCTATTTGCAAGCGTGAAATATTATTTACATTTGATTTCTATCTGTTCTTTTCTGCTCTGTCATCCTTTTCGATTAAATGATGAAAATTAATGATGGCTTCTTGGCCTTAGATTGTGTTTCGTGCTGAACCATGGAAATACAAGAAGTTGATGAATGAATGTGATGACTTTCTTAAGCTTGTTGATGCTTTAGAAGTTTTGGTGAGACGGGGTGCTGCTGAGGAATTACAACAGGCTGTTGATCATGCTTGCAGCTGGCAGGTAAACTTATATAGACTTTTTTTTTTTATATATATAACTTGAATGCAAATATTATAATGCTTAGAATATTTTTATTTCTCATTAAAATACCGAATATTATTAATGATAAATGCATGCTGTAGTTTTTATAATAGAAGTTATAGAATTTATTAACAATACAAGATAACTTATTACAAGGATAGGGATAAGATATGCTCATAAAAGAGGACAGATGAAATTAACAAGACAGCCTAGACAAGGTAGCAAAGCTCACAAATCTATCTTCTTTCTCGGCATAGAAACGTCTCTAAACTAACCTTTTGTAAAATCTGACATTCCTCTCTATTGATAAACTGTTTCATCCTGTCATACAAATTCTATTGATTGAAATTTGAGAACATGCCCCATGCTCTGCTAATTCAACATTTACTAAATTTAGCTATGAGGCAATATGAAATATATAGCTGCTTAGTCTCAAGTTAAGAAAGACATAACACAAACATTACTGTGAAGTCTTCAGACCTATGATTAATGACTGGAGAATGAGTGAAGAATTGCAAATAAGACCTGCTGGAGTATTTTCTAGAGGAATCCAAAGTTCGTCTCCTTTAGTTTAATGACATATATAATTAACTATTGAATATAGGTTATGGATGAGAGAGATAGAGAAAATAATCTAGATAGAATACAATGAATGGAAAAACTTGTTCTTCAGGAGTACATAGGTTTTGGAAGACATTCTTGTATATAGGGTTCTTAATAGACTTAGTGGTGACCTTTTCCTGTCCTAATATTAATTGGGTATATCTTACTTGACACTAATACTTGTGAACAATAAATGCATTTTATCATGTGATACGTGAATCTACTCTTTTCTGAGAACATTTAACCATTGTTCCCAACATTCACCAACACTTGTGAGACATGATATTTGAAGCTTCTCTTTTAGTAGGATTTTGAGAGAAGTGTAGTTTCCAATAGAGGTTTTCAAAAAAATGTATGTTTTTCATCATGTTAATCCTTGTCGTTTAGATTCCACAAGGAAGACAAGGATTGGGACTGGCTATGTCTAGCTTTACAACAAAGCACGGCACATGCAAGCTTTAAATAGAAATTTAGGGTAGCACCTATATAGAGGAGATGGTAGAATTTTTGCTTTAGTTGGTTTTGGCATACATAGAGAAGACTAGTAGAAGGTTTGGTTTCGAGAATATATCGGATAGCGGATAGCTGCACTGGTGATAAAGCTGAATCATGAAAAAGTATAGGCAAAGCCATAAGGATTTAGAGGTCATTTGTTTGTCTATAACATAACGGGGAAGTAGGAATAGTACATGATTCTAAAAAATAATACTAAAATCTGATAATGAACCATTCATGAATTAGAGTAAAACCAAAAGCATGCAAAAAGAATACCATAATTAAAATTTCCAGGCCTAAAGATATACTTAAACAGCAAATTTTGTATCCTGCCCTTTTTCTTTGAGGAGTATTTGTACTAGATTACCTGAGGCCCTAGAAAATTTGAATTGAGGAAATATCTATGCTCAATCTATGCCCAAGCAGCCCTTTTGTGTGATTGATATGATACCACACACCTCACACCTCCCAATTTATTTTATTCCTCGTACAATATACTGCTTGAATGTGAAGAAAGTCTCTTTGTAGATAAAAAAAGTTATCATAATGGATTATGATATAATCATTTTCTGTTCAATATAGACCAAATAAACGAAAACAATTTGTTTTTTGTTGGCCAATCTGGATACACTTGTCTTTTTCTGAAAGCCCTCTCTTGTAAGATTGTATCTGTTGAAAACATTATCCTTCTCATTTTTTCTTTTTCTTTCTGATCTTGAATTCCAGGAAACAGCTACTTGTTTTATTGATCGATTGATGGATGAGTACACTGAATATAACGACATTATTCAACCAATTCAAGTTGCTGTGTATGAGATGAAATTTGGATTGTCACTGGTTCTGTCTAGTACTTGGGAAAAAGATTATTTGAATAAGGTTGGGCAGGAAAATATCAATGTCGTTATGGTATGTTATTTCATGAATTTTGTTATGCTTGATTTTATTTTACTTTTGTTTAGAAACTGACATGATGAGTTTGACAGGAAAATATATACACACTTATGCGCTTCCCTCGTGCTGCTTCATGCAAGTTCATTTCTGTTAATCATGACATTGGGTTGGACATGCCTCCTTCATACAGTTTAGATTTTGCTCCAGGATTTTATTTGGTAGATGTGGATTTGATGGAAAGGCTTGCTACACTTGCAAGTGGCATTGCCGCTGATAAGAAGGTATAAATTTCACCGGATTAAAATCCTTCCGCAAACATCATTCTGGGTTATGAAATTTACAAGATTGATTAGTTTTGTTCATTGGTTTGTATCTGAATCATCAAAAGCAGGTATCTGTGGTGCAATATAGAGCTGCTGTCTATCGGAACATTCTTGTTCAAATAGCACATTGTACAGCAAATGCAAAAATAATTGATGATAAGTCTTATATGGTCAGTTTCCTTATTTTGGTTTTTCTATCAGCTAATTCATTTGTATTGATTGAAATGAATATCTGTTTACAACGTTATATATCTTCTACTTCAGCTCTTGCACAAGATATTTGATGAGTTTGCCAGACTTTGGTTGAATACTAAAATTTTTGCAAAGTCAAAGAGTGATTTTGATGCCCAACAGTACAAGTTTAAACCTCGAGCCTTCCAAATTGAGAGTGTTATTGAAGTTGAAATACCAACTCTTGCAAATTCATGCGCACAGGAAGCATTTTTGGAATGGAAAGAATTTTCTTGCGACGAAAAAGCTGCAGACAATGTAATCCTTATGCAATCTTTGAATCTTGGATATCTGTTTATTATTGATTCCATCCTGTTCATATTGACTATCTGAAATGAAATGTTTGTTCAACCAGTTGGTAGGCTCTGAGGAATGTTTCACATTGGATGAAGAATGGAAGCAGCTGGAAGAGTCTATCCTCAGCCATGTGGTTCTCATTCACAATCAGTTATTTGGATCTAGTGATCTAGTCCAGACTGTGAGTCTAAGTATCTCTGTTTTCATAAATTCAAGCTAGAATATGGTTTGCAATTTGAAGTTAAAAAGGATTTTTATGCCATGTTTCCTAGTTGATATAATCTTGGTTATTGCATGGTTAAGTGGTTGGGCTAACTGGTTACTCTTACGGTGTGTTTTTGGTTCAATGAATTAATTCACCTGGATTGGTCTTGTTCTTAGTCCACTTGTCTGTATTCAAAGAAAATTTATTGACATCTGAAGTGAGTTGTGTGGGAGGAATTTGACACAGACCTATTGTCTTGCACTTTTCAATGATTTGGTTGACTCTTTAAGTCCTCTTTTGATGAATGTAATTGTACCATATCTATTTATTTAATGGATCCAATGCACAACCAATTGTTCTTGCATTTATTTGTGAATGAATTGCTGTGTACATCTGTTATTGTCTGTGTGTATGGATTTCTGATTGGGGTTACTAAATACACTTTTACAGTATGACTCTATTAAAGTATCTTTTAAATGTCATGAATCAATTATCACAAAAGCTTAAGCTACTGAGTGAAAGCACATAAATAGATATTACATAAATAGATATTTCTGGAGCTGTTTAGTAAAAGCACATGAATGATTTTATATTTTATAGATATTACACTTGAAAAATTCACGGTTATCCTTGATTTTCTATTGCTAACCAAGCTTGGATTTATTTTTGAAATTATTCACTGTATATTTCTAGGTCCATTCAGTCGTCATCATGTTTCAGGGGAATTAAACATTAATTTTAGCATGGTTAATAGCCATTACTAGTGCTGATTTGTTATGAACTTGCAATTTTTTATACATCCCTTGTAGTTATGATTCTTCATTTTTCCTTCAGCCTGGAACTTTCGAAGTTTCTGATGAAGATCGATTGCATTCCTTTAGTGACTCGTATACCTTGGGTGTCGATTTAATTAGAGGTAATAATCAGTTCATTTTTAAAGAAAGGAATTTGAATTGGTCATTGCTTCATATTACATTTTCCATTCTTAATTTTGTTGCCTCAGGTGTCCACTCTACAACTTTGCCCAGTGTAGATGCTAAGCTCATGCCAGAGCACTTATTTTACCTCTGTATAGACTATAGAAAGAAATATCTTTTGTCTCACAAATCTGCTACCAGATATAATTTTTACAAGGTGTTGCTCAACTCTGTTTTGATATTTTGGAGCCTGTGTTTTTTTGCCTTTATTTTTTTGAAATCAAATCATGACCTGTGTATTCTACATATTGTTTCTGAAGGATTCAAATTCTCCTGAGATGGTACAAATGTTGAAAGTACTTGCACCTATCCAACAACAGATTCTTTCCCTTCTAAATGAATGGGAAGATCATAATGATCTTCGGAAAATTTTGGATGTAATTGACATGCTCTTGAGTCTCCCATCAGACACCCCTTTAGCAAAGGTAGTGATCAAGGACTGATTAAACTTCTATTGTCTATACAGATTGGTTTCTTATGTACAGAATCTACAAATAGTGGTTTGGTGTAAAAACTAAATTATTATTTCTGTCCACCGACTTTTAGATATAGATAATTTATTTTCTTTGAGTTTAGTGTGAAGTTATTGTAAAACTCAAGTCTTACATCGACCAATGATAAGACAAAAAATAGAGTATATAATTGGGGGATGGCCTTCACCTTAGAAATTTGTTTTGTAGGCTTGAGTTAGGATAAAATTCTTATTAGAGCTTATCTTGAATCTATTAACAGGTCACCCACCATAAAAACCGAAGGCCACAATAAAAGTATATAAGTGGGATACAACTATCATCTAACAAGTTGGTTTTGTAGGATTAATTTAAGTCCAAACCCACATTTTAAGAAAAGTTTTTGGATATGGTTGAATTTTTCTGCATTGAATTGTAAAGTTTTTCGAAAATCTGTTGCCAATCAGTGTATCTTGGTTTTTTTAGTACTTAAACCCATAGTGTTGATCAATCCTTAGTTGTTACAGTTATCATTTTACTTTCCTTAAACTACGTGTCCACTGAAATCTATTTAACCCATTTATCTGTATTGAATTGAAAACGTGTTTTTAATTATAAATATGCCCTTTGGACAGTTTTCCTTTTAAAATGATTCCATTCATGACTTTATGGTATAATTTAAATTATACTCTGCTCTGTAGGTTTTTTCAGGGTTGCAATTTTTACAGCACAAAGCTCAAGTTATGCAAGAAAATGGTTCAAAGTTCTCCTTCTCAAGTATGAATTTTCTTAATTTTCTTTCAAATGTTGAAGCTGCAATTTTGTACTCTGTATTTTACTAATATTTTTTTTTTAAAATGAATTGTAGGTCAATTTAAATCTGTGGATGATTTGTTGTCATCATGGCAGAAGATCGAACTGGACTCGTGGCCTGCATTGCTTGATGAGGTGAAGGATCAATATGAGAATAATGCAGGGAAAGTGAGTTGCTGGCTGTTCTTTTTATTATTGTTGTTTTTGTTAAGTTAGTCAAAGTAGAAAATTTGTTGTACTTTAGAAGAATCTAAATACTTGTCAATTATTATAAATATGCAAGTGCATAGGTTGTACACGTAAATGTAATGTAGTATAAGAACTACATATGATCTCACTAGGAATCGTACTTACCTGTTGTTAATTGCTAAGCTATCATTGATTTTCTCTGAAAAATTAAAATAAAGAAATATGAATAATAGCAAAAGAACTACATATCGTCTCACTAGTAAACGTACTTACCTGTTTTTTAATTGCGAAGCTATCATTGATTTTCTCTGAAAAATTAAAATTAAGTTGGCTGCCAATCATTTAGGAGCCTTTATCATAAAATAGGAGGCGTGTGGTAGAGTGATGCAAAGTGGCCTCATCTGGTTGGAGTCAAAATACTCAATCATCACCTCTTTTGTGAGATAAAAATCAAATAGGCTGACTTAGCATCCAATTTTCTGACCGCTTAGCACAGCTTTTTGATGTTGTTTCTGGCCAACCCTGTGCATGCAACACAGCACTTTGGTGTCCGCTCTTGTCTAGGTGGATGAGGGATGTATTGTGTTGTTATCTTTCCAGCTTCATAGATGTTTTCTATTCCCCTCTCGAGTGTTCTGAATCTTAGATTCATGATGATTTATGATTATGTGTTTAGATTTAAACTGTGAAGTTTTATTTGTATAATATAAATTAAGTTATTTATCTTGTGTCTAAATCTTCTTTATAGTGGCTACTCAACTATCTACTATACTGCTAGTGTTTTTAGGGTTGGCCACTCCATGTGCTATATGAGATTGATAACTTTGACTCTTTGCTCTTCATTGTGCTTTTGTTTGACTTATTTCCTTTTGATATTATTTCTTTACTAAAAGTGAAGGGTCTAACCGTCATCTTGTTTATCTTTAAGGGATGATAATTTTGATTTCCATATTTTTATTTCTTTATAAGTATATAGCTTATTTGTTTCTTGCTTTTGTTGCAGTTGTGGTTTCCTCTGTACTCTGTTCTTCTACCTGGCTCTTGTGATATATCAATTATCCAAAGGCATGTACATATTATATTCAGTCTGTTTTCTGTCTCGTCTATTTTATGATATATCAAATATTTATGCAGCTACTTTTGGTTTTGCCTTTTGTGTTTTACAGCCTTGAAGACTTCATTCACACGTCCAATATTGGGGAATTCCACAAACGTCTTCAGCTTCTCTTTGCTTTCCTCGGTCAAAACCATATAAGTACATCCTTGAAGATTAATTCCAGGTATAATGTTTTCTTGCAGTTAAGCTTTCTTGAAAAAAAAGAATAAAGAAGTCATGAAAGCCAGTAGAAATTTTTTACTTTCATGCCCTCCCAACTCCCCAAAAAAAGATGTTAATATTTAAGATTTAATGTTGAATATTTTTCAAGTTAGCCTCATTTGAAAATTTAAATCTTGTGGCTGTTCTTCATTATCAAACATTTCAGCCCCCGTCAGCTGGAACAGTCAACATTACTGTACAATATCTTTGGATTTTATGTGCAGTTCTTACCCATGTAAGTTCCTTTGACTTTTTGTTTCTTCAATTTATTTTCTATTTCTTTTCCTAGTCTTATTGTCTGTTGGTGTACTTATGTGACTGACTGTAGAGTATTGAAGTACATTGACGCTAGTAGGAAGGAAGTTGAGATTGAATTGAGCAAGCTAGTGAAACTATGTCGGTGGGAGAATGGCAAGAATTATATATCAATTGAAAGTTTGAAAAAGGGTCGACAAAAGCTGAAGAAGCTTATACAAAAGTATACCGTAAGTTTCAGACTGTCTATTTGATTATCGGAAAGCTGATTTGAATATGAGCATTTTTTTTTTCTGTTTGACACTGAGCATCTGATTATGGAGTGCCTAAGTCCCACATTGAGTAATATGGGGTGGAGCACTTAAATGGCTTGGTTTTCTCCTCTGAATTGCTATGTTTTTAGGGAGGGTTCTCCTAGTGCTTGGGTGCTTATCAATCTCCCTGATTTAATTTTGTACACGAACTATTGTTAATAATTGCTGCATATTTTTCAAATGTGACATCACTGTTTTGACATTTGTTGCCATATTCTTTATCTGATTCTTTCAAGGGTTTTGTTTTTCCCTCTATTTTAAAATCATATACGGTATACCCCTCATTTTATTTTCCTTGTTTAATTTGTAGGATTTATATATATTTTTTTCTGAAATTGTTTATGTGAATACAAAATTCCACTATTTGAAACCAAAATAAAACATGTTAAAACTGTTTGGTCCTTTGGTGGATCTTCCAATATGCATAAATCAATTATGAAGTTGTAGATCATTTCTGTATCTGGAAGTGGGAATAGGTTTTACATTAGCAATTTATTTTTTGCTAGTCTTTAATTTGGGCAAAGTTTTAGTTTTTGGCCTCTTTACTCCTCACACGTCCAAGTTTTTTTTCTCGTCTCACCAAACTGGTAAATACTTCTTGAATCCTGATTTTCATATGCTGTTCTCTTTCTTATTGGTGAAGGATATTCTGCAAGAACCTGTGTCAATTTTCCTTAACCAAAATGCTGCACAAAGAGAAGCAAAAGCACATTCTTTTCATGGGCATAAGCTTATTTATGGTGTTCAAAATAAGGGTTTGGTTGGTGGTGCTTTTGATTTGACATTGTTCAGTGAAAACAGGTTATCTTACAACTGATGGTGTAGAATTTAATTTTATCATTTGGAATTTTTAGTTGTTGACATTTCTTTTGTGGTGTAGGTTCATGTGGTTTGACAATTGTAGCGAGGGATTAGACAGTGCTTTTCAGAACTTGCTGTTTAAGAAAACATCAGTATTGGATGTTCTACCTTTACATCAGAAAAGTGTTGAAGGTTCGCCCCCTGCCCCTCTTATTTTTTATCCGTGTTCTTTTGATGTTGCTAGCTTTTTTAGTCTAGTTGATTTCTTGTTCGGAAATATTGAAACATGGTATTATATGCAGAAATTCAAAGCATATTTAGACCTTGTGATTCCCAGCGTACAATTTACCTGAAGGGTTGGAAAGCTGTGTGGCATATGATTGAAAAAATATATATTGCAGCAGTTGACTATGGTAATCTGTGGAAGGAGGAAAAAAAGGGTCAAGGGAAGAGAAGAGCTTTGTCTGAGCTTCTTAAGCTTTTAGAAAGCAATGGGTTGTCTCGGCACAAGTCAGCATATACAGTGGTATGAAACCTAGCCTTTTGTTTCAATGAATGTCCAGAGTACATATTAAAAATTGCTAAAAGTAATCCTCCTAATAAACAGGACCAGGATAAAACTTGGTGGTTCCTTCAGCTTTCTGGGAGCATGCCGTATTTACTGCTAACAAATAGTAGATTGCCATTTGTAACCTCGGGAGTTGCTGCTGAAGTTGAAAACAATAATAGCCCAGAAGAAAGTTTGCTTATGGAATGGAAAACAGCCGTTGATTATTACTTCAGAAGCGTTGTGTCTGTGCTGCTTCTCCAACAGATATGCCTCAATCCGCACAAAGATATAAGTCTTGAACAGGTGAAATGTCTTTCTCAAGTTAGTAGTAGTGTAAGGACCCACACTGATGTCAATATTTGAGATGTTATGTGCCTATGATTTATTTTATTTTTTAAAATTTTAATTTAATGTTAATTTCTTTTTTACCTTTTAATCTCATTTGGTCTTCTACATTCTACCCCGCCCATCTTTTTATATAGTATCTCATCTCCCTGCTATTTTTCTTCACATTGGAAGGGATTATTTATTTAATTTGAACTTTTTGATGTCTACTGCATTGATTTTGATATACTCTCAGTGGTAGGAAGTGAATATCAAACTTACCCACCTGTTTCTGTGTTCCTTCTGTATCTTATGAAATTTGAATTGCTTTGGTTTCTGTAGGTTGACAGTTCTAGTTCATTCGTCAACCAGCTTGTTCAGATACAACAGAAGCAACTCATTGCTGCCAGTGCATTTGACAAGCAATTGAAATGCTTTAGAGAATGTGTATCTACTCTGGGAAAATTGTTTTCATTTTCCTCCTCCGCTGATAACAATACAAATTATATGTGCTCTATCATTCCGAAACAGTTTGCTACTTATAAGTGCATGTGGCAACAAAAAGTAAGTTTATTATTAGTTTTGTTTGGATATCTTTTTTTGCTGGTGTTTTAGGTTTCTGATATGACTATATTTTCTTGATCATGCAGCAATTATTTGATACTCTGTGTGCTACATCACATGAAGAATTGCTTTTACTAAGGATATTAGAAAATAGCCATTTAAACACTTGTCTTAGAGCAAGACCTGTAGCCAGTCAAATGATTGCTTCCATTGAAGAATTTTTACCAATGTTCTGTAAATCAAAGGTGCATTTATTGTTTTTAGTTGTAAATTTCTTTTAAAAAAATTGATATAGTATGTATTCCCATGGATTCACGAAAACATGATTACAGGAATCATTGGATTGTTATCTAATTGGGAGGACCAAAGCTGTCACTGCACTGAATTCTTCCTCACATCATTGCATTGTTACTCAAGAAATGGAGCAGCTGGTATCTGAAAATTTCAAGACTATTAGGGATTTTGTGGATCGTTTTTTCGAATCACAGGAGCAAGACTTAGATAGAAGCACAGTTAAGAAAGTTCTGATTCAGAATTTCCGAGAAATAACTGAGAAGGTACTTCGTCTTTTAACTTATCCTTGTGAAACTTAGTAATTTATTTGAAAGAGAATTTTGGAATTTAAAAGCATTTACTCTTCAGGCAGAATTAATTGAGGAAGAGTTTACAACAGCAATAAAGGGAAGTAATCAAGTAGATTTATCTGATGAGGATAGGTTTTGTGAAAGGAACACCATGGAGCTCAATGCCAGGTTCAATGAAGCGATTATGTCTTCTTATCAGCATCTTGCAACCATATTGCAGAACTTATGTTTGTCAAGCAATATTCCCATGGTCGAAGACTCAATGATAAAAATTGTTTCATGGGAATCACTGTTTGAGTCGTTTGTTACAAATCTTAGCTTGGACATTTTGTGTGAGAATCTTTCCACAGCAATTTCTTTTGGGGTAAGTTTGTTTTTTCTTTGCAGGTTATCTTAACTTATTATTTTCTCTCTCTTCCTAGATAACTAAACTGATGATACCTTTGCTGTGTAGGAGAAGTTGGTGAATCATTGCGATGATAAAATCAATACTTGTTCACGTGTAGGAGCCCATTTTAGAAATCTACATATTTTCATGGATCAATTACTAAACTTTGGCGATGAACTCATGAAAAATTTCTTAGCCATGCACAAATCAGTAAGCTTAATACTCTCATGCTGTATGAGTTCATTTTCTTTCCGAAGTTATGACAATATCTCATTTTCTAAATCATTGAGTTGGACAATCTAATTGTATATGTCAATTCGCAGGTGTCAGTGACAACTCATGTGATTGCAAATATTTTAGCTTCTTTATTTTCGGAGGGCTTTGGAATTTCTCCTGAAAACCAGGATGATGATGGAACCCACAATACATCTAGAGATGCAAGTGGGACAGGCATGGGAGAGGGTGTCGGATTAAATGATGTCAGTGATCAGATTGCTGATGAAGATCAGCTGCTGGGAACACGCGAGCAGGTTAGCTTTTGGGCTTATTAATTTTGCTGATTTGGCAATTTTCTTCTCATATATCTGATTTCTGTATATTGTCCTCATGTCAATGCTGAAGGAAAATGAAATGCAAGATGACACCAATGAAGTGCCAAGTAGCAATAATACAGGAATTGAGATGGAACAAGATTTTCAGGCGGATGCACTGAGCCTTAGTGAGGACTCTGGAGAAGATGATGATATTGATGGTGAAAATGAGGAACTTGAGTCTGAAATGGGACCCACTGGACCAGACAGTGAAGCAGTGGGTGAGAAAGTTTGGGATAAGAATGAAGATGAAACTCCTAATGATACAAGAGAAAAGTATGAATCTGGAGCTTCGGTTAAGGATAGAGACGGAGGAAACGAGTTAAGAGCCAAGGATGACTCTACCACTAATGAACCTGGGGATGGTAATTGTGATGATGGTGATGCTCAGGATGATGAAACTGTAGCCCCAGATGATGTAGGTGATGGAGAGGATGCAGATGAGGTGACTATGGACAAAGAGATGGCGTATTCAGATCCTACTGGGTTGAAGCCTGATGAACCGGATCAAACTTCTGACCTGGATGTGGATTTGGATGTAAAGGAAGATTCTGATCTCTTGGAAGATGGAGAACCTGATGATCAAGGTAATTCTGCTGAGAATGCAAATGAAGGGATGCAGGATGAAGAGACCTGCTCACCTGATGAAGTTATGGAAGAAGCGCATACCGAAGTTGATATGAACTCCAAAGAAGATGATATCGATCAGGACCATCAAGATGGTGCAAACATGGATTTCACTACTGAACCGAAGAAAGATGACTCTAAATCTTCTGAGTTGATTAATGAGCAAGTTTCTCCTGCA